CAGAATCAGCACAGTAATTTTGATGTGGGTGGACGTGGTCATGGACGAGGGCGATTGGCTACAGAAGAGATGCTGTTGATAGGGGTAGGGATCGAAGTTATATATAGCCGTAGTTTTGAAAAGGTACACGGCATTATAGTAGAAGTCGCAGCCGCAGTCAAAGTAAGAGAAGGAATTGGAGCTGTGGCCATAGTCTTAGCAGGAGCTAGTCTCGTGGTCGTAGTCACAACTAAATTCGACTTCAGCCAGCCACAACCATAGCGCTAACTGCAACCACAGTCGAAGTCGTGGCCACAGTCGCAGCTATGACAGATACATGAGAGGCCATCCAAACAGAACTTCGACCAAAAGGATGATAAAAATCCTAAAGTCGATATTTCTCGTGAATCAGGATGTCTCCAATGTCCCCTGGCGCACAAGGCAATGCATTTTCTAGAATTGACCATGTAGATCAATTTCAGGTGGTGGGAAGTTCTGAGTCCGTGCCTAAAGAGGTGGGTGTAGACCCGTTGTATCTTACTTTGCCTGAATCTTAGGTCAAGTATATTGTTGCCTGATATCCAATTTTGTTGTATCCAATGACAGTATTGGTCAAATTAAAATTTCTTGATACCGGTTTCTAGTTGCAGTATGATGCAATGTGAATACCATGATGGAAACAAAGAGGGAATGCCGTCCTCTTGGGGAGTTTTTATTTTTTGATTTTTTATGATGAACCAAGGGTGGGTGTTGGGAAATCAAGATATTAAGGGCATCGAAATTCAATAGCTACTCAGCTAGCTGCTTTTACTAGTAGAGGACTTGCATTCTTCTTGTATGTCATCTGGGATATATCGTGTATATATATATTTTGGTAGATTATATAGGATACATTTGGGCGTCATTACCTCCACCCTTGATTCAATTTAATGATGCTTTGGATTAAAATTAAAACTACTAAGAACCTTAAACCTAAGTTTCAGCTAAATCAAGAAACACGAATCCTGTGACTTACTACCATATACACGCATATGGTACCTAAGATCATGTGGGTGCCCCAAGGGTCCATTACCTAACATGGCCAACGAGCACAAATAATAGACATTGCTAAATGTGTGTGACAATAGTACTCTCCTCAGTATGCTTTGCAACTTTGCAGTTCTAATGTCCTTACCAACATTGAATATTTAAAAAGGCATATCCTCTTCAAGTCAATACTTCATTACTAAGGAATGAAAAGAAAATCAAACACATTGTGAAGCTGTAATATGTCCTTCTAATAAGGGAGAACCTGTCCATT